GGACCTTTCTGCCAGAGGGTTCTGGGTTGGAGTCCCGGGGGAACCAGGACCAGAGGGTTCTGGGTTGGAGTCCCAGGGGAACCAGGACCAGAGGGTTCTGGGTTAAAGTCCCGGGGGAACCAGGACCAGAGGGTTCTGGGTTGGAATCCCCGGGGGAACCAGGACCAGAGGGTTCTGGGTTGGAGTCCCGGGGGAACCAGGACCTTTCTGGGTGGTTCTGCATGTTCTCCTGTGTCTGTGGGGTCTCTCCGGGTTCTCCGGCTTCCTCCCACCGTCCAAAAACCTGCATGTTAGGTTGGCTGGACTCCAAACTGCCCTTAGTGTGAGTGTGTGTGGTTGTCGGTCCTTGTGTGTCTCTGTGTGTCCCTGTGATGGACTGGGGACCGTCCAGGATGACCCCGCCTTTCCTCATTGCCTACTGGGATAGTCAATAGTATCCGTCAGCAATCTGACTTTCTAAATGTTAAGCATTGCTACTTACAAACCTTTTAAGATACCATTGGACCAGTAACTGTATGCGCCCAAAGGTCCAGTGTGTTTGTGTGTGTTACACATCGATGAAAGGGGCTTTGCCTGCTGTGTGCCTGCAGACATCGACGAGTGCGGCCTCAACGAGACGCGCTGCGGGCCCCACGGCTTCTGCGAGAACCGGCTGGGGTCCTTCCGATGCCTGTGTGACCAGGGCTACCAGGAGTCGGCGGACGGCCAGGGCTGCGAGGGTGAGTGTTCCCCGAGTCCCCCGGCTGGAGTCGGAATCCCAACAGCATCTGCCGGCTGGCCGTCAGCAGCTGCTGATTGAAAAACCAGAGATTGGATTCCAGCGGGCTTAAAAAAAGAGAGGCCAGGAAAACAAACAAGCCGATCGGAGCCCGGTTTCGGCGCTAACACAAAGCGCTTTGCCATTCCCGGCTGCTTTCTCGTGAGCTGACGCTCAGGACCACTCTGACTTTAGGACACGTGCCCGTGCTCCATTTCTGCTCAATATGAGCCTCAAACTGCAAATATGTGAGCGAACAAACAGCTCCGACATATTTCCTGCCATGGAATTTAAACGCAAGTTTCGCTCACATCCCAAAACAAAATCCTAGATCCGAACCGCTGGAGAGCCCCAGTCCTCCTGTTACCTTTGGCCCCCTTCCATTTGGTATTTTAGGGCCATATTAGGGAGTGGCGTAGACACAGCAACCCTCCCGTAGAAACATGAGAGCTGTGCTGGAAATGAGCCGCTTCCCACAGCTCTGTTTGAGGCCGGAGAGGTTTTGGGGGCCACTGGTTTCCCTCCGGCTGAACGGGCCCCTGCAGTTCCCATCTAGCCTCATTTAGCAGGACACACCGTCAGGGTTTGCTTCCCCACTTCAGCTCTCACCAGACACACACTCCCACCGAGTCCCAGTTCAGTCCCAGAATTAGCTGCAGGCTGGTTGTGGTCTCACCCGCCTTAAGGCCAGGGCCCAGGTCCCACCCGCCTTAATTTAATTTAATTTAATTAATTTATTTATTTAATCAGGACAGTGCACATTAATGAACAATCTCATACAGATAGTAAATGAGCCAGATTCTAGCATAGTTGCTAATTCACATCTGTCGTCCTGAGGCAGGAAGACAAAACAACACAAAATCACAAAATACAATATCAGTTAAAACAGAGAGACACACATTCAGACAAAATTAAAATTAGTGATTGCATGACTGGGAACTTTTGAGAAACAGTTTAAGGTGCTTTTTAAATGTGTAAAAAGTGGGACCTTCCCTGATGTTTGTTTGGGGGCTGTTCCAGAAGTGACCCCCTCTGACTGATAGAACGGTTTGTTCTAAAGGTTGTTCTTCTGTGGGGATTTCTAGGTCTCCTCTGGAAGAGGCTCTGGTGCAAATATGTCTGCCAGGCCTAATTTAGGTAGAAAGTGGAGGTGGGGCTAATCCATTCAGAACTTTGTAAATTAAACAACTATTTTTATACTGAATAAAGTTTTCAAAACTGAGCATTTTATATTTTTCCAAAATATTACACTGATGGAATGACAGGGGACCAGGGTCCCGCTCCCACCCGCTTCAAGACCGGGACCTGCTGCCAGACCAGGTTGAGCTGTGGTCTGCGGAAATAGACAGACTCACACACAAACACACACTCCCTGAAACCATCGTCAGTGGGCCACCATCACCATTCTGAAATTATCTCTGAGCCATGGTTCTGCTCGAGGTTTCTGCCTGTTAAAAGGAAGTTGTTCCTTGCCTGTGTCGCCTAGTGCTTGCTCATGGTGGGAATTGTTGGGTTTCTGTAATTAACTTAAGAGTAGGGTCTGACCTGCTCTGTTTGGAAAGCGCTGTGAGACAACTGTTGTTGTGATGTGGCGCTATAGAAATAAAATTGACCGACATGTGCACCTCTTCCCTCCGCAGACGTGAACGAGTGCGAGCTGCTGAGCAGCGTCTGCGGCGAGGCCCAGTGTGTGAACGTGGACGGCTCCTTCCTCTGCACGTGTCCCGGGGGCCAGGACTACAACACCATGAATGCCAAGTGTGAGCCCACTCCCACAGGTAACCTCCCCACTGACCCAATGGGTCCCAATGGGTCCCAATGGGTCCCAATGGGTCGTGGAAAGTCTAGAAAGTCTGGAAAGTTCTGCGGTCAAAGCCAGAGAGGGCTGACCTCCTCTCTGCCTGTGTCCGGTTCTGTCGTGGCCCCCCCCCAGCGTCCTCAGTGGAGCGGAAGGAGTGCTACCACCACCTGAACGACGAGAACCTGTGCGAGAGCGTGCTGACCACCAACGTGACGCTGCAGGAGTGCTGCTGCACCCTGGGGGCCGGCTGGGGGGACAACTGCGAGGTCCACCCCTGCCCTGTCAGCGGTACAGGTGAGCCAGCGGTTTAGACCCGAGCCGCACAGGAACCGGCAAACACCTGGGAATATTCCCACAACTCCACAGGACGAATAGAGACCGGCCGGAATGCTTCCCGCCTTCCGCATTCCCTGAAATAAGAAGCTGTTACTGTAGGAAGTTTAAGGATGTTGATTGGATGCTAAACCCAGCTTTTAACACACGTCTGGATTTCCATCATGTCCCACCTTTAGACCAGTTCAGCCAGTTGTGTCCGTCAGGCAGAGGCTTCATTCCCAGTGGAGAGCCTCCGTACGGGATTCCCTCATCTGACAGCTACAGAGGTAAGACCGAGATCCAGCAGCTCTCACATCTGATTAACTCATTGACTGCCAGAGTTTTTTGAGCATTTTGACTGATTTTTCAAGAGCCACAGAATAGTTTGTGCTATGACTATGTAAACACCGAACACACCAAAAGAAAGAGTAGACTCTCTTCTTTCATCAGGAAAAATCATTTGTCTCTACCTTATTCCGTTCGTCCTCGACTTGCGTCTCAGCGGCGACATGTTCTCTCATAGAACCGTTCCCTTTTTCTTATTTGCCTACAGTCTATGCTCATCTCCCATCAAAAGTGGCACTGCCCCCTAGAGGGTCAATTTGTTACTACATACTCTGTCTAGAAGTCGATATTTACGGACAAGCTTTAGCAGATCGTCCCCCAAGCCACTCTCGTTGAAAAACATAAAAGACGTCTATAGACGTCTTTGGCAGTCAACGGTTGCATTTGAATTGACGTCTATAGCCGTCTTTGGCAGCCAATGAGTTAAGCGCTGTCGGCCCCGGCTGTTTGCAGACGCGGACGAGTGCACGCAGTTTGGTCAGGAGGTGTGCAAAGAGGGCTTCTGCCTGAACACCGAGGGCAGCTACGAGTGCTACTGCAAGACCGGCCACGACTACGACCCCGTCAAGCTGGAGTGCAGAGGTCAGTGTGTGTGGGGCCCTACCTCCCGGTCGGTGGTGAGAGGCTATGGCTGATTGGCGCCGTTCGCTCTGCAGACATCAACGAGTGTCTGGAGGAGTCGGTGTGCGAGGGCGGCCAGTGTCTGAACACGGACGGCTCCTTCCTGTGCTTCTGCACGCACCCCATGGTGCTGGAGCCCGGCAGCAACCGCTGCGTCTTCGCCTCCGACGTGGCCGGTGAGTCTCACCGACCTCTGCTCAGTCTGTGGTTATCACTGTTCTGGCTGCGTGAAGCTGGGTTGGTGTGACGGAGGGTTGTCAAAAGTATCGATACTAAAATGCTGTATCCGGATACGATACTCATTTTCAAAAGTATCGATACCCACCCCCCTTCTCTCTGATTTATTTATGTATTGTTTATGATCATTAACAAGACGTTAGCCTTGCTAGCTGCGGCTAATGGCTAGTAATAACATGCTACCATTAATCAAGTACATATCCAACTCCGCCCACATCCAAGTCGGCCATTTTGATTAGGTCACAAATAGGAAGATCCCAGGCAAGAAAATCCTAATTGCTTCATGGCAATATAGACATTAATTTAAAAATAGTGAAATTAATATTTCAAACACTTAATTAAACTCTATACATATTATGTTAAAATAGTGTATGTTAAATAGGTTTGTACAATAAGTCCAAACAAGTTTAACCAAAAAATATTTATTTCTCACAATTATGAAGGCTGGAGGGTTAGGGTTAGGATTAGGGTTAGGGTTAGGGTTAGGGTTAGGGTCATTAATGTGGGCCACCAGTCACGATAACATCAGTAACAGGTCAGTCTGAAATGAAAGACACAATTCAGTTCAATTTTGGGGTTTTTGTTTTTATCCTTGTGGTATCGAAAATGGTATTGAGTATCGAGTATTTTCCTGAGTATCGGTATCGATACCCCTGTGTGGGTTTCAGAGCAACACGAGGACGAGCAGATGGACTTCGAGGGCATCTGCTGGCAGTTGACGGACAACATTACGTGCACGCGGCCAGTGGGCCCCAGCCAGAAGACCACCTACACCGAGTGCTGCTGCCTGCACGGGGAGGCCTGGGGCATGGGCTGCGCCCTGTGTCCCACCAGAAACACAGGTGCACACCACACAGCCTCACAGCCCTCTCAAACAGGGGCCTTCCTTCCGAGCTGGACTCTGAATCCATTCAATTAAATTTTCCATAGGCCTAGAGTCCCAGGGGGATTTCCCATGATGCACCGAGCCCTCCTCTGCTCTCTCTCTCTCCCGTTTTTTGAGCATTTTGACTGATTTTTCAAGAGCCACAGAATAGTTTGTGCTACGACTATGTAGACACCGAACACACCAAAAGAAAGAGTAGACTCTCTTCTTTCATCAGGAAAAAAAATGTGTTTCTACCTTATTCCGTTCTTCCTGGACTTGCGTCTCACCGGCGACATGTTCTCTCATAGAACCGTTAGCTTTTTCTTATTTGCCTACAGTCTATGCTCATCTCCCATCAAAAGTGGCACTGCCCCCTAGAGGGTCAATTTGTTACTACATACTCTGTCTAGAAGCCCATATTTACGGACAAGCTTTAGCAGATCGTCCCCCAGCCACTCTCGTTGAAAAACATAAAAGACGTCTATAAACGTCTTTGGCAGCCAATGAGTTAATGATGTTACTAACTGGACTTCTTCCCTTTCCCGTAGTCTTTCCAGTCCCTTGGAGTGAATTGAATTGATTCAGAATAAGTGAACAGACCTGTAATTAAAACCATAGAGGCGGTTCGACTGGTTGACTTTTACTGGGAAGGGTTAACAGTTCTAATTGGGACCTCTATGTGTTGAACTCAACACATTCATTTCAGTTTAAGACCCAAAGTACACGGGATTGTTCCAAATGTGCCAAAGATGTCCTTTGATTGTGGTTTTAAATGCGTCTTTAGATAATTGTTTTTTCAAATAAAAAGGGAAATAGTAGTAACCTCGCTAGTTCAAATCTCAGCATTCAGCCTCTGATATCACACTTGGTGTTGATGCCGTTTCTTATCTAGCGGCTTGTGTGTTTCTCCTGTCCCGTGTCCACCTCAAACGTAGAGGACTACGCCTCCATGTGTAACCTTCCTCTGGGTGGGGGCCGGCGGCCGTACGGTCACGATGCCCTCGTTGCCGGTCCGGTCCATGAATACGAAGTGAGCCC